GGTCAGGGTGCACTTTGAAACTTTCCTCTAAGTGTTAGGGAAGAGATATATGGATAATCTCATGCAGAAAGTAACTTTCCTCTGGTTTTTGAAGGTTACATGTATGAAAGATCATTAATGTTGAAATTCTATGGCAGATTAGTATGCAAAGAGTCAAATGAATAAGTTCTTGAAGTCGTAGGCTTCCGTGGTCAGAGTTGTGCAATAATTATTTCGGCTGTCCGTGTGACGCCGCATCGATGGTGCCGACGTGGCCACCATCTTGTCGTGGTCTTCCTCAGGGCTGGTCTGCCAAACAGGTACCACCCATACAGCCAAGATCATTTGCAAAGAAGGTCTTCATTATCCGTTTTGTATACTATTTGGGAAAAGGAGCCTAAGTTGCGTCCAACTTTACTTTTGTAGACTTTACAGTGAAAACAGCACTGATATCGTTTAAACCGTTTCAGATATTCCCTGGACAAATATTTAAAACAATTGAATTGTTTTTCATGTTGCTTATATAATCATATGCGATTATAACTAGTGGTGTTACAGAATAGCCCATCCTTTATCAATCTAGTTCGTTCCTGTTCTTCTCCGGTTTGGGTTAGCTTTTCGATATGTCACCTCTCTTCCGCCACAATTAACCATGTTAATGACCCTGTGAATCACCACAATTAGCAGGCGGCTGTTAATTATCGATGCCTAAAAGAGATACTATGAACTCTTACTTCTCTGGGGAATTCTCCGTGATGAACATCGTCTTACTCCCGAACATGGCAGAGACTTATTTCGGGCCTGTACCTTTTCATGTTAGCCCATGGAATCGCTTGGTACCATCTTGGAGCCCGTACTATTTTTTTTATACTATTGTTGTTGGTTTAGGAATTCAGTTCGATTGCATTGTCTCACCTCTCTCACACTCTGTCAGGCCAAGATATTATGCTAGGATTAGGGGAAATGTGTTACCCAATGACCACGGATTCTCCCCCTAGCCTCAAACACAGCTTGCAACATTCATTCCTTACGTGGGTTGGAAACCCACAGACATGTGAGAGCGTAGGCTTCCGCGGCCGGACTCGGTATTTAATTGGCTGTCCGGGTGACGCCGCGTCCATTGCGAAGGTGCCGACGTTTCAGTCGCCATTCTGCGTCCTTCGATCGAATATAATACAAAAATACTCTTACAATTTTAATATGGTGTGCGTATTATTCATCTGGAAATGTATAATATATTTCATTATCTTGGCACTTATTTTTCTTTTTCAAAATGTTTCTAACAGTCCATGCGCCATGCTATTTGTCTCGTCTCTTCCCGCAAAGACACGCGCTCGCTTGCACCTCTCAGAGTACTCCCGCCTGGCCGTTTCCTTGTTATTCTGATCCAAGACCCTATAGAGGACGTAGAACAGTGGCATGCTCCATACTTGACTCCTGGGTATTGAGTGTAGGCCAGTGAATTCTCTTGGTGTGTTCTCGCACGGAAGACTACAATTTTCACTCACTTGAAAGCCGCGTTGCGCACAAATCTTCTGTCTCGTTACCGTCCCTTAGATGTCCGGGTTGAAGTCCCTCCTTCCGTAATCTTTCCTAATGTCAAAATCGATATGCAAATGTCCCCGGAATATTATAATTTATTTGGTAGCCTCATGAAAAGGCAACAATTGCAAATAAATTATTCCGCAACCGCGACATTCCTTATAGTGTGTCTCAGGTGGACATTTACTCACGACTGTCTACATTCGACACAAGTTGTTATAATATCGTCCCGTCAACGAATCTATTCTATCATAAATTCCTCTCGAACACGAAGTCTATTTACATTTAGTTTTCAAATTCCAATACAAAGTAACGTGACATATTTAACTTATTCATCTACACAACACTTGGCATGTAAAAACGAATTGCACATCACCCACATCCTTACAATTAAATCCTATCTTAACTGAAGATACTTGTAACGTTTGATCAAATGCAGTCGCTCGGGTCGGTGTCGCAAGAGGAATGATTATTTTTATATTACCACAAAACTACAGCTTCCACTTCCTCCTCCATACACGCTTTTCATACTTAAGCGGGGCCCTATTGCCCTTCTCCCGAGTGAATAGCGACATGTTCACGAGCGTGGAAAATAATTCGTGTTTACCGACCGCCCGGACAACGCGTCCTCTTTGACAATAAGCGTTCTATATGCATTCATTTACGTCGAATTTTTAATGTCTGATTTTTTTCTGTTCAAATAAACTCGGGGTTTCTGGCTCATCACAATATATGTTACTCCCTTTCAATGACCACTTGTGTGTAGTGTATTTTTCGCACAAACTCGAGCCAGTTGATTCCTGAAACAGCTACTTTCCCTTTAAAGACTAATTATTGACGTACGTAGTTTCAAGATACATGCTATCGTATTTATTCTGTGATAAGCATCCATAACATGTTTTCAACTGCTTTTAAATTTGAATAATTTCCTTTTTCTTTCCTATGTCAATAATGTCAGTATGGGATAGTTATGTCTTATATATTCTGTTATTTCATTTAATGGTGAATGTGTGGGCGTACATCTATGTTGCATGATACACACATAATTGTATAACTGAATTGTTTATTTTGAATCAAACAAAATTGCTTCAAAACGATATATTTCCTCTGTTTTAGGATGAAAATGTGAAGAGGGAGGCCGCTGCTCTTAGAGCAGAATTCCAAAATGGACCAACCACACCAATAATAGTGAATCCTCCATCAGAGACACTAAAACAAGCTGAAAATGAAGGTATTGGTGTTGCTGGAACAATTGGTTTAATTGTTGGTGGCATTGTTGTGATAGCACTTGCAATACTGTTTCGCTGACTACTTCCAGTAATTAATCCAGTTTTATACCGAACTGTTTATATGGCTATTTGAGATGGTTGTAGGGCTCAAAGAAAATGATTTTTTAAACTGACTTTATAAAATGAGAGCTGTTCAAATACACTGAATAAGATATATTCACCTCTTGTGTCCTACAAATGTTCTATGTATAAATATTCTATTTTGTTAACCTCTTTTTAAACAATTCATGTATAGGAAGTTTTGTACTTTGTAATAATGAGAAAGAGAGAAATGTGTTAATGGAGAAATATATGATAGTTTCATAATTTCAAAATTATTTTAATATAAATGAGAACTTGTCAATGAAAATTATGTAAACAATAAAATTATATAAACTTATCGACAAAACTACTAAAATAATGGAACATTCAGTATGTGTTATTAGCAAGATCATAAAAATGAAATGAAACAATGTGAATGTTAACATACTTTTTTGGAGAATTATACCCTGTGGATGATTTTCCCTCTAGATGTTATTTTCTATTGTTTTACATTTTTGTAATAATAAGATTTTATGTATGTTTTACTTATGATAAAGTTTAGCAAGGAAAATATTGATTTTTTAATTTTATTTATGCCTGCCGAATTTTCAAAAAAAACGGCACCAACTTTTTGGATTGAATTTTGACCTCAAATATCATAAAGGTCGCTTAAGACAATATTGTAGGTCCCATTTTCGTTAAAATACCGCATATTTCGAAAATTGTAAATAGTCGAACTTTGTTCGCCGTCTTCCTACAACACTAAATGCGAAGACAATAGACACAGAACACAGGCAATTTTAAAATCTTAAACAATTATTTTCTCAGAAAATGCTGCAAACTTTTCGTTTAAACATTTTCACGTATGTTTCACAGAATGGTAAAGAAAATGGTGCTGGTCTCATTTTCGGCGCACTCTCTATTTATCCGAATATTAAAAAAACAATCGAAATGATGAATTGGAATTAACCGCGCTTCGTTTTAGGTGCTGTTACTGTGTGAATGTAATTTGAGAGATGCTTGGAGGCAATCATTCGAATATTGAAATGAAAGATTACTTATAATATTTAATTTAATATATATTAAATATATTTAAATTATGTTACTTGTGAGAACGAATGGATCATTACATTACTTTGCATTGTAAGGTGCGGTAGAGAGAGTAATTCGTGTAACAATGATAAGTTTTTATGAATGTAACTATTATACTTAATTATTATATTTTTCT